ACACATTCAAATAAAGCTTTTTAAATCAACTTAAAGTCTAATGCATTCAACAAAGCTAATTGAATCAAATGAAAGTCAAATGCATTCTACAAAGCTAATTAAACAAAATGAAAGTAAAACAAATTCAAACAAAACTTTTTGAATTAAATGAAAGAGAAATGCATTCAACAACGCTAATTGAATCAAATGAAAGTCAAACACATTCAAACCATGCTTTTTGTATCAAATTATAGTCAAATGCATTCAACAAAGCAAATTGAATAAAATGAAAGTCAGATGCATTCTACAAAGCTAAATGATTCAAATGAAAGTAAAACATATTCAAAGCAAGCTAATTGATTCCAATGAAAGTCAAACACATTCAAATAAAGCTTTTTATATCAAATTAAAGTCTAATGCATTCAACATAGCTAATTGAATCAAGTGAAAGTCAAACACATTCAAACATAGCTTTTTAATCAAATGAAAGTCAAATGCATTCAACAAAGCTAATTGAATCAAATGAAAGTAAAACACATTTAAACAAACCTTTTTGAATCAAATAAAAGTCTAATGCATTCAACAAAGCTAATTTTATCAAATAAAAGTCAAACACATTCAAACAAAGGTTTTTGAATCACATGAAAGTCAAACACATTAAAACAAAGCTTTTTGAATCAAATTAAAGTCTAATGCATTCTACAAAGCTAATTGAATCAAATGAAAGTTAAATGCATTCTACAAAGCTAATTGAATAAAATGAAAGTTAAACACATTCAAACAAAACTTTTTGAATTAAATGAAAGAGAAATGCATTCAACAAAGCTAATTGAATCAAATGAAAGTCAAACACATTCAAACCAAGTTAATTTAATCAAATGAAAATCAAACTTACTCAAACAAAGCTAATTGAATCAAATGAAAGTTAAAAACATTCAAACAAAGATTTATGAATCAAATGAAAGCCAAATGCATTTAAGAATGCTAATTAAATCAAATGAAAAACAAATGCATTCTACAAAGCTAATTGAATCAAATGAAATTCAAACACATTCAAATAAAGCTTTTTGAATCAAATTAATATCTAATGCATTCAACAAAGCTAATTAAATCAAATGAAAGTCAAACACATTTAAACAAACCTGATTGAATCAAAGGAAAGTCAAACACATTCAAACTGAGCTTTTTGAATCAAATGAAAGTCAAATGCATTCATCAAAGCTAATTGAATCGAATGAAAGTCAAACACATTCAAACAAACCTAATTAAATCCAATAAAAGTCAAACTCATTCAAATTAAAGCCAAATGCATTCAACAAAGCTAATTGAATCAAATGAAAGTCAAATGCATTCAAACAAAGCTAATTGAATAAAATGAAAGTCAAACACATTCAAAGAAAGCCAATTGACTCAAATGAAAATCAAACACATACAAATAAAGCTTTTTGAACCAAATTAAAGTCTCATGCATTCAACAAAGCTAATTGAATCTAATTAAAGTCTAATGCATTCAACAAAGCTAATTGAATCAAATGAATGTCAAACACATTCAAACAAAGCTAATTGAATAAAATGAAAGTCAAACTTACTCAAACAAAGCTAATTGAATCAAATGAAAGTCAAACACATTCAAACAAAGCTTTTTGAATCAAATTAAAGTCTAATGCATTAAACAAAGCTAATTGAATCAAATGGAAGTCAAATGCATTCTACAAAGCTAATTGAATCAAATGAAAATCAAACACATTCAAACAAAGCATTTTGAATCAAATTATAGTCAAATGCATTCAACAACGCTAATTGAAACAAATGAAAGTCAAATGCATTCTACAAAGCTAATTGACTCAAATGAAAGTGAAACATATTCAAACAAAGCTAATTAAATCAAATGAATGTCAAACACATTCAAACAAAGCTTAGAATAAAATTTAAATTAAACAAATTCAAACAAAGCTAATTAATTCAAATGAAAGTCAAACCCATTCAAACAAAGCTTAGAATAAAATTTAAATTAAACAAATTCAAACAAAGCTAATTGAATCAAATGAAAGTCAAATGCGTTCTACAAAGCTAATTGAATCAAATGATAGTCAAATGCATTCTACAAAGCTAGTTGAATCAAATGGAAGTTAAACAGCTTCAAACAACGCTAATTTAATCCAGTGAACGCCAAACACATTCAAATAAATCTTTTTGAATCAAGTTAAAGTCTAATGCATTCAACAAAGCTAATTGAATCAAATGAAAGTTAAACACATTTAAAAAAAGATTTTTGAATCAAATTAAAGTCTATTGCATTCAACTAAACTAATTTAATCAAATAAAAGTCAAACACATTCAAACAAAGCATTTTGAATAACGTGAAAGTCAAACACATCAAAACAAAGCTTTTTTAATCAAATTAAAGTCTAATGCATTCAACAAAGCTAATTGAATCAAATGAAAGTTAAATGCATTCTACAAAGCTAATTGAACAAAATGAAAGTTAAACACATTCAAACAAAACATTTTGAATTAAATGAAAGTGAAATGCATTCAACAAAGCTAATTGAATAAAATGAAAGTCAAACACATTCAAACCAAGCTTTTTGTATCAAATTATAGTCAAATGCATTCAACAAAGCTAATTGAATGAAATGAAAGTCAAATGAATTCTACAAAGCTAATTGAATCAAAAGAAAGTAAATCATATTCAAAAAAAGCTAATTGAATCCAATGAAAGTCAAACACATTCAAATAAAGTTTTTTATATCAAATTAAAGTCTAATGCATTCAACAAAGCTAATTGAATCAAATGAAAGTCAAACACATTCAAACAAAGCTTTTTGAATCAAATGAAAGTCAAATGCATTCAACAAAGCTAATTAAATCAAATGAAAGTCAAACACATCTAAAAAAAGCTAGTTGAATCCAATGAAAGTCAAACACATTCAAATAAAGCTTTTTAAATCAAATTAAAATCTAATGCATTCAACAAAGCTAATTTAATCAAATGAAAGTCAAACAAATTCAAACAAGCTTTATGAATCAAATGAAAGCCAAATGCATTCAACAATGCTAATTGAATCAAATGAAAAATAAATGCATTCTACAAAGCTAGTTGAATCAAATGAAAGTCAAACACATTCATACAAACCTAATTGTATCCAATGAAAGTCAAACACATTCATACAAACCTAATTGTATCCAATGAAAGTCAAACACATTCAATTTAAATGCTAATGCTGAGGGAGTCATAAAAGTATATTATTTAATTTTATTAAACTCTCGATTTTATATTTATATTTAATGGTTTAATGATATACTAAGTAATTTTCTTCCCAAGACACAATTTACTACTATTTTATTTATTTGGTTGTAGGAAGGAAGATTACGATAGCAAAGTTATATTTTATTACTGCCCGGATTAAACGAAGCAAAGCTCACAAGCCCAATCAACTCACATGTGTGTCAACCTAATAATATTTCATAGCAAATAGCCGAGTGGACCATGAACTCATGAAGTACACCAACTGGCTACTCAGTCAGAACAATAGAAAAAAAAAAGAAGAGCAAGAGAGCTCCTCTCACTGTTTATTACGGGTAAGGCACAAATAAATCTTGAGCGATTTTTGCGGGAAATCAAATTGTCAAGCAAGAAGAGATAAAGATGAAATTGGATAATAATTGGAGGGGGAGATTCGGATTAGCTGGAGATCGACTGTAACAAAACAAGAAAAGCAATAGAGTCCCGTATTTTTGGGGATTCTGGAGATTAATTTGGGGTTTACTCTGGGCAGCAAATGACGGAGGAGAAAAACCGAATTGCATGATAGAGGGGGCTGATACTTGACAACTTGGGGAAAAGGGGGAGCAGCGACAGCGGCGAGCTTATTCTCTTCGTGGTATTAGCTAAGTTGATTGTTAGTTACTTAATTTGGTAATTCTATATTTTTGTTTTAAGAATTGAAGTGAAAAAGTCACGTTTTGCTTCTTACTTTTCACCCTTTTCGTGGTTGGTATTAGAATTTGATTACTTAGTTTATCAAGTTTTCATTTTCAATTACTTTTTGCTTTGTTAATTATGAATTCCATAGTTTCTACTTTTGTTCTTATTCTTAGTATGTTAGGCTAGAGTAGTCGTGGGTACGGAGATATAGTATACATTGGATTATTGTTGTGAGAATAAGAATGGGTAATTTGATAGTATAATGTTTATTTCTTGATTGGTTTGATAATCTGTTTTATTAGTATGAATTACCATATTATATTTTAGACCGGCCATCTTTAGTATAATTTGCTAGTTTAAATGCTAGAATATTAATCTATGATACGTAATTGTCTGGGTTAATACTCCTTAGTAGCACTTAGGTGTTTAATAGATGACTGAAACTTATACGATGCCTATGATTATCAGCTCTTTAAGTTGCACGAATCCGAGCTTGTGAGATTTGTGGCTTAAGTTAGCTACTTCCTAGTTATTAATGCTGCTAATTAATCGAGTCTAGAGAGCTTGTTCTAGATTGTTAGTTAGTTAGACAATACTCCAAGAGCTTGTTTGGTTTATTTGCAATTAAGGGAAGTGTTGAATGTTTGTTTGTATTCATCGGCTAACATTGAGATAAGAACATAATTTTTATAATTCGATGATCAATAAATACTCCAATGCTATAATATGTCTCCCGATCCCTGTTTTATTATTTATTGATTTTTATCGTATTTCAATTTTAGTAGTCTATCTTTCGTACTTTATTCGTCCTATTGTTCGTAGTAGTTTATTTATTAGATCGTAGTACTATTTCTTCAAAACATGGGTTTTTAACTTACACAAGTTATAATTTAATAAACCAATTCTATGTGGGATCCACCCTAGCTTACCCTACTACATTTTAGGAGGTTGGAGTTAGGTTTATTTTTGGTAGACACGCGACAGTCGTACCAAATTTTGGCGCCGTTGCCGGGGAATTGGCCTTTTATTACATTATTACTTGTGTTTTTGCTAACTTTTCCTACTAACTTGTCATTTAGTTCCTTGTTTGTGCATGTGTGACAGAAAATTGAAACATCAAAGATTGAGAAATTTTGCAGCAAGGAACCAGGGACTTATAATTCATCATTTTTCTACTCTTCTTGTAGCTAAAAGGACTCGTGCTCATATACTGGAGCAAGTTCTTCATATTCCGTTACCTCACAGTGAAAGTTCATCTTCGGACGAGGAGGGTGAATATATTTTTGAGATGGGTGATCAAACACTAAAGCAACTTGCAGCTCCAACGTTTGATCCAAATTTATTGTGCATAGTAGACGATGAGGCAGAAATTGAGATCAAGCCTGGGTTGATTAGAGCTCTTCCCACATTTTCAGGTTTCCGTAATACTAACTCCTTGGGTTCAGTTCACATGAATGAGGCTAGCAGATTTTTGAAGGAATTTCACATAGCATGTGCGGGGATGAAACTAGCAGGGGTCACCCTCGACCAGCTCAAGTTAAAGGAATTTCATTTTGCCTTGTCTAATGCTGCTAAGGAGTGGTTATTTGAAGTACCTGCTGGAACTATCACAACATGGGATCAAATGCTAAAAGTATTTGCAGAAAGATATTTTCCAGCATCTTTGATAACCAATATCAGGAAAGAAATATGTGGAATTCGACAAGACGATGCAGAGACACTTCATGAGTACTGGGAGCGTTTCAAGAAACTATGTGATAGTTGTCCAAACCATCAGATCAGTGAGCAATTATTAATACAATACTTTTACGAAGGACTTAGGGAGACAGACAGGAATCTAGTTGATGCAGCAAGTGGTGGAGCACTGGTTGACAAAACACCCGCAGAGGCAAAGAAACTGATTGCAAACGTGGCTGCAAACTCTCAGTATCGAGGAGGTCGAAATATCAAGTCCACTTCTGTACGTAAAGTTAATGAAGTGGTGAGTTCTAACCTTGAGCAACAAGTAGCTAAACTCACTTCCTTAGTGGAGCGAGTAATGATCGAAAAAGGGCAAGAAAAAGTATGTGGCCTTTGTTCAATGGTAGGACACCCAACTGATATGTGTCCTACTCTGTAAGAAGAAGAAGTGAATTCGATTGGTGGTGGTCAGGGGCAGCAAAGACGTTATGATCCATTCTCTCAGACTTATAATCCGGGTGGAGAGATCATCCAAACCTGAGATATGGTAATGCTCAGCAGCAGGCAGGCAACTCTAACCTCAGACCACCAGCTTTCCGGCAACAACAAGCTTCTAATCCTCCACTTGGGTTTCATCAGCAACCACAATATCAGCCGCGACCTCAAAATCAGCAAGTTTCCCAGCCACAATCTGGTAGCATGTCTCTGGAAGATATTGTGAAGGCAATAGCTGACAACACTTTGCATTTCCAACAAGAGACAAGAAGTGGTCTAAAGAACTTGGAGAACCAAGTTTCTCAGCTAGCTAACATAGTGGGAAAGCTCCAAGCTCAGAACTCTAATAAGCTTCCGAGTCAGCCAGAGAGAAATCCAAAGGAGAACGCGAGTGCAATCTCCCTGAGAAGTGGCAAGCAATTAGAGGTTCCAACGAAAAAGACTGAAGGGCTGGCAGCACACCAAGAGGAACAAGAGACTATTGCTCCAGAGCAAGATAAGCAGCCCACTAAGGTAAGAGATGTTGTTTCTCCTAATACTGATCAGTTTACTTCTTCTGTTCCATTTCCTAGCAGGTTATCATCTAAGAATAAGAAGAGAGAGCAAGAAAAGGAGAAAGAGACCTTGGACATTTTTTGCAAGGTTGAGGTAAACATACCTTTACTGGAAGCTATAGGACAAGTGCCGCGGTATGCAAAGTTTTTGAAGGAGTTGTGCACTAACAAGAGGATATTGAGTGGAGATGAAAAAGTCAGTGTAAGTGAGAATGTGTCTGCTGTTTTACAGAGGAAAGTTACTCCAAAGTGCAAGGATCCAGGTATTTTTACTATACCATGTAAAATAGGTAACACGAGATACGATAAATGCATGCTAGATTTAGGAGCTTCTATTAATGTCATGCCTTTATATATCTATAAAGCTCTAAACTTAGGACCTTTGAAAGACACTCGAGTGATTATTCAGCTTGCTGACCGTTCTAATACATACCCTGTAGAAGTAGTTGAGGATGTTTTAGTGCAAGTGAATGAACTAGTGTTTCCTGCTGACTTTTATGTTTTAGATATGCCAAATGATGAATCCCCTAGTGCAGCACCTATCTTGTTAGGAAGACCTTTTCTGAAAACATCCAGAACTAAAATTGATGTTCACAGTGGGGTGTTGACCATGGAATTCGATGGGGAGGTTATCTGGTTTAATTTATTTGATGCCATGAGATATCCCTCTGATTGTGAATCTGTTTCTAGTATAGATGTCATTGATGCACTAACTGAGCAAGTATTTTTTCTCTCTGGTCATGATGGGTTAGATGTTATTTTGACTGCGCCGATGGAAAAAGAAAAGTATACTGACTTGCAGGAACATTTTGAGCTTAAGGGGGAAGTTAAGGAAGCTTTTTCCTCTCTGGAAATACTTCCCGATAAGCAATTAAGGTATGACAAATGGTTTATGCAGTTACCTGTCACTTCTAACAGATTTTTACCTTCTATTGTGCAGGCCCCTGAAGTAGAACTAAAGCCACTGCCAGACCATCTCAAGTATGCATTTTTGGGAGAAAATGACACTCTCCCAGTCATAATCGCGAGTAATCTAACTCCAAATCAAGAGCAAAAGCTGGTGGAAGTTCTAAAGGAGCATAAAACAACTCTAGGGTGGACGGTTGTTGATATAAAAGGGATTAGTCCCTCTATGTGTCAGCATAGAATCTTATAAGAAGAGGGAGCTAAACATGTGAGACAAGTGCAGCGACGACTTAATCCACCTATGATGGAAGTGGTGAAGAAAGAAGTAATGAAGCTTCTTGAAGTAGGGGTGATATACCCTATGTTTCGGGGTTTTCTGATGTCCTGCGGGAGAGTTACAATTCCGAGACTGGAACCAGACGCCTGTACCTGCAAAACAAATGGATGCTCCGGATGATTGGAGATCCGCCTCCGACGGTCAAGTTAGTACTTGATTAAGGAGTAATTAATGCGGAAATTAAAGTGATTGGGTCTCTCTAGGTGAGAGTGTTTAATGTGTGTAATCTGCGTAATCTCCCTTAATGAGGATTAAGGGAGGTATTTATAACCTCGGGAAACGTGCCAATCTAGGTTTAGGTTAACCTTGGGCTGATTGGGCTTCCCTCGGAAGTCGGGCCTAGGTGACCGGCTTCTCCATTAGGCATGGAGTATGCCACGTGTCATGACATAATAAGTCCAGGGTGGACGAATAAGTGTGTGCCACGTGGCAAGCCCTGAGAGGTCCAACTGGGGGGACACTTGGCAGGACCAGATTGGCCTACGTGGCGCATTCCGATTGGTGGGAGCAAAATCCCCTAATCATTTGCCCTCACAGGTGGCACATGACTGGTCACGTGTTACCTGTGACAGGTGTCGCCCTGTAATAGGCGACGACCTACTACAGGTGTCACTCGGCGAGAGGCCGAGAGATTCTCCCGCCAAAATTTTGAATTCTGGAAGTGACCCTTCGCCTTCTCACTTTGCCTATATAAAGGAGTGTTGACTTCGGTCATTTTCACACTTGATAACTTTATGAGAGAATATTCGGACCCCTGAACTTGCTCTGACATTTTGGACCCTTTCTGCCTACCGCCTGCTCTGACAAGCCGACAGCAAAGGATTTTCAGAACTTCATCAATCGTCACTCGTTCAGGTAACCGTCGGTTCTCTTACTCTTAATTTTCTCTTTACTTTATTTCTTTTTTGAAATGGCACCACGGAAGCACACGACACGACCTAGGTTATTGATCAGCCGGTCACCGGGGACGGCTGAATCTAGGACTAGGAGTGCCGCCTTCCCTTTTCTGGACCCATCTTTTCCCTTTATACAAAGTCCGACTGTATCTGTGTCTATGCAGAGCATGATGGCCAGAACAAAAAAGACTGCCAGGATCTCAAACTCAGACGGCTCCTCCCACAGGGTGCCGATTAGTGAAACATCTGACCAGGCGCCAGATGTGGAAGTGAAACAAAGCGGCTTGAAAGCCGGCAGTTCTGAGGGAGGAGTCAAAGTGACCCCTTCCCATTTTACAGTTGACAATTCTACATTCTCTCCTGCTCCTTTTAAAGGAGAGGAGGCGGGCCCCTCCGGGAGAGGGGAGGAGTCATCCTCTTCGGACTCGTCAGAGGACGAATCCGAGTCTAGCTCTTCTGGACATGCTTCTCTGGACACAGAAGAGAAAAACAGTCGCCTACAAGAGGCGAGGCTTTCTCACGCAGTTGAGAAGGGGGACGATTGGGCGGAGCCATCCACCTCTCACCGAGAGCAAAATACCCCCTACTACTGCACGGTACCTCGGGGCCAGATCACGGCCATGCAAGAGAAAGTTGGGAGCTTTATCGCAAACCACACAATGGGCCCCGGCATTTTAGTGTTCGTGCCGGATCCAGAAGACACAGTCGTCTGGCCGGCTGGTAACAGTTATGATGGCGCCTGCTTTGGCTGCTACGAGGCGGCCATCAAGGCTGGGCTGCGCTTCCCACTACATCCGGCTGTTCAGCGGATCTTGGATGGGTATGAGTTGGGGTTATGGCAGTTAGCCCCGAACTCCTGGGTCAACGTACTCGGCTATATGGCCGGGTGCGAACTGCACGGGGTGGAGCCGAACTTCGAGGCTTTCGCCCACATGAACTACCTCAGCCGGACCCCTAAGGCAGGCGGTACCGGCTGGTATCAATTGACGAGCCATAGGGGCTACCTCATGACGAGAGGTAAAGCAAACAAATGGAAGGACTGGCGGAGCACCTTCCTTATCATTGAGAGTTCAGACACAGAGCTGAACAAGCGCTTCAACAGGTGGAACATGAATCCGCCCCTTCTTGCAGGCGGCCGCAGCATGCCGCCTGTTCCCCCCAAGGCTATGAAAGAGATCCTAGATAAAGGACTCTTCAAAGTAGAGTCGAAGGTGAACTCTACTTCAGGGGTACGAGAGCAAGTACCCCTGCACTACGTCCCGAGCTTCAAATGGCTCTACGACGAGTACTTTTTGGCCGCTTGTGGCCTCAACAGTCGGTGCTCAAGAGGTAGCCGGCCTGTCGAATACTCTGTTGTTCCATGCATTTCTTGTTATGACTTTTATTAACTTTGCTATTTGTTTTTACAGCGATCGCCATGAGCAAAATTACCGCCTCCAAGACTGCGGCGGCCATGTTGCGGGCTTCCATAATGCAACAGTCTTCAACCGACTCCCCCAACAAGGGGGCACCCTTGGTGGGCTTCGAACCTTTCACCCTCTTTTTGGAGTTGTGTTTATGCATATACTGACTCTTTTCTTCTTTTTTAGACGGGCGCTCAAAGAGCTTCTTCTTCCCAACAGCCGGACCCCAAGGCCGGAGGACGACTGTTGCGAGCTCTCCTGGTTCTGCCAGGAAACATGCGGCGGCTGAGAAACAGCCGGCCACTTCTTCTAAAACTCCAGCTGGGCCGCCTAGAAGTATGAAGTTGTCCTTGTAAATTTTAGACTTGGTCCCTCCTTTACTAGGTCTAATCCGTTTGTTTATGCTTGATGCAGCCGGCCCTCAGGAGCCTGACTTGGTCGAAGTGGCCAAGTCTATGATCAAGGCCGTACCTCCAGCTGAAAGGGAGGCGGTCAGGGGTGTCGGCACCCTTGACCTAGACGGGATTGCAGGGGTCCTTGCTGAGGTTTTTGCAGCTGACGCCATGAGCAAAATCACCGCCTCCAAGACTGCGGCGGCCATGTTGCGGGCCTCTATTATGCAACAAGTTTCAACCGACTCCCCTAAGAAGGGGGCACCCTTGGTGAGCTCCGAACCTTTCACCCTCTTTTTGGAGTGTTTATGCATATACTGACTTTTTTCTTCTTTTTTTTTAGACGGGTGCTCCAAGAGCTTCATCTTCCCAACAGCCGGACCCCAAGGCCCGGAAGACGACTGTTGGGAGCTCTCCTGGTTCTGCCAGGAAACAGGTGGCGGCTGAGAAACAGCCGGCCACTTCTTCTAAAACTCCAACTGGGCCGCCTAGAGGTATGAAGTTGTCCTTGTAAATTTTAGACTTGCTCCCTTTGTTACTAAGTCTAAACCGTTCTTTTACGCTTGATGCAGCCGGCCCCCAGGAGCCTGACTTGGTAGAGATGGCCAAGTCTATGATCAGGGCAGTTCCTCCTGCTGAAAGTGAGGCGGTCAGGGGTGTCGGCACCCTTGACCTTGACGGGATTGCAGGGGTCCTTGCTGAGGTATACTTAGCATATTTTTTAGTATTTGAATTCAAGGACGCCTGTTTTCTTTTTTGTTTGGAAACTGACGCCTGTTCCCCTTTTTACTTAGGCCCTGCTCCGAGTGAACGGCCTTCGCAAGCCGCTTGACCGGAAGAACAAAGAGGTAAAGGATGCAAAAGCTATGGCCGCCTCTGACTGTGATAAGGCAATGTTTCAAATTGCCCAAAATGAAGTTCTGACAATTGATATTCTTTATTATCAGGCGCAGGCTACCGCCGCTATCCGGGCTCAGTTAGAGGCGGCCCAGACGAGGAATAGCGAGCTGGAGGCGACCATCAACAACCTCAAGACCGAGCTGAGACCTCTTCGCCAAAAGATGTCCTCATACTAAACCTTGGAGAAATCCTTGGCGAGCGTAAAGGAACGCCTGGTGACCCAGGAGAAGAGTCTTATTCAGGAGCTCTCGAAAAAGGCCGAGCAAGAAAAGAAAGAGCTGGTCCGGGAGATGATGGAAGACTCTGCTCAAATCCAGCGCATGACTTGGGGCCGCCTCTTCCCCAATGCCGACTTTGCCTCCTGGGAAAAAACGTACCGCCAGTGTTTTGATAGATATAATCAAGAGATCCTGGCGGCTGCTGAGGAAGAGGCGTTGGAGGAGGAGGAGCAGCCGGTAGTGGCGCTTGTGCCGCTTGGGGGTAATGCATCGAAGAAGGATGCAGCTGAAGCCGAGTCCAGCAAAAAGAGTGCTGACCAGGCGGCAGCTGCTAATATTGAAGATTTGCCCCCTTCATAAGCGTTATGTCTTCTTTCCCCGGCCTGCGTGCCGTTTGTTTGTATTTACCCGGCCAGGGGGCCGGGGCTCTGAATATTTTGCCGGTCTTTAATGACCGGCTTCCTTTTAATGAATATTTTTGTTTTGCTTCAAATTTGTTTAAGTATTGAATATTCTGATATCCAATTGTACACTATACCGACTGTTTTACATGGCCGATAGTTACAGACAGGTACGGATAGTTAGTCACGCTGCCTATGCCCCTGGACGACTGGTTGTCTGTTTCCAGGCTAGACGATCAGTCGGCCATTTATCCAATCGGTATTTGAACCATTTTAAAGACTGGATCCCCTTTAGGCAGGCGGTCCTGTCATTTGTAAAATTAACCAAGTAGGAAAGTGGTTTCCTACTTGTCATGTTTTTAGGCTAGAGACTTTAGGCCGTCTAGGCCGACTGTTCCCCGCCATATTTAATCTAGTGTGAACAGGTGCTGTATGAACACCTTTTTAGTTTCATACTAAATTTTTAAGGAGTGACCAAGTAAACATGATTGTTACCTAGTCGCCAAGTAACTGAGTAGTAGAGGTATCAAGCGGTGGGTACCGGTTGTTCCCCTTTATTCGCCAATGTTTGTTGGCTTTTAACTCATAAAATACCAAGTGTTCTTATCCCAAGTAGTTCAGTCGGTCGGTTGACCCGGATGGTTACTGCGAACACTTGCTTGACGTGATTAGTCAGTTAAGTGAGAGATATCCTTGTCCGGGA